CTGCAAGCATATAACTTAAGTCCATTCCCAACATCATCAAGCCAAACTTTTTTAAGTACAAATCAAGCTTCTGTGCTAAAATTAAAATTTTCATGTTCCTTGCCTTTACCATCTTCCTCCAGGGAGCTCTTGGTAATCTACAACACAAGTAATTTAATTAGTTTGCTCGGTCGATTGACCAGTCTCACGTAACGACCAACATTTTTGTTTCATTTCCCTCTTGGATGCAAGGGAATTATTACGCGAGGAATTGCCAGTTGGATTGTGTTCATTCTCAATCGCGTCTTCTAGGAAGCGATGCGTATTAGAGACATACTCATCAAATGATGGAACTATGGAGTTCCAATGCAAGACATCTGAAGTTGTTGCTATTAAATTGGACGAGTATAGTGAGGCTGACGAATGTGTGAGTTCATGTGGGGTCAATCGAAAATCAGTCGGGATCTCATCAGATGCCCTTCTTGACTCTTAGTTCACTGCCAAGCTATGCTCACCGCAGTGTTACCAGAACTGTCCCAACATTGTCGATCTTTACGACAATTTAGCTCTCGGAGAAGGTGATGTTCACAACCCCCAATTCTCTTTCAAACAACCTCGTCTAAAGGCCTTACTTATTAAATAACAAACAAATTTATTAATTTTAAGTCTTCAACAAGATTGTAGGGGCGGAGTGTTGGGGGACAAAAAAATTTTCTAATGAACTGATACATTGAAAAAAAAATTCAATTGAAATTTTTTCTTTTTTCTTTTTCTTTTTTTTTTTTACCAAAAAATTTTACCTTAAAAAATAAAATTAAAATTGGGCTCGAGGGGCAGGCCTGAGCTTTCCTCCATTCACCTCTAGCTCTCGCGAACTGCCCACAAACATTTTTTATTGAAGTCATAATACGTACACAATTTTCATAAATAGATACTCGACACAGTGATAGTTAGCATATGCTAATATGGTATTTGATAACAATTAACAGGAGCATTTTTATCTGATCTGTGCAAATCTCAACGAACATATTCACGCCGTTCAATGGCTCGGATTCAAAGTTCTGGTGCAGCACTTGGCCCTATTTCTGCTGCTGCTGGTCCTATGTCCGCTGATGCTCCTTCTCCATCTTCACCTGTAGATTATGCTCCAGATCCAATGTAAATACGTCCCTATCAGCTATGCAGTATTGGACTGGATTATACAATTAATGATCATGATTTTAGTTTATATTTGTTCATGTCTATTACCATCCAATACTATGTGTACCGAGCATGCCATATATGTTTTATGTAATTTCATTTGATATCACAGTTGTAATTAAGTATACTATTTAATGAAAGTAGACTATATCTTATTATACATAGGTTCTTCTCTATTTTTTCTAGAGTTATTTGATAACAACAATTTATACTAGTGTGTGTGAATTTAAATATTTTCTTTATAGATTTCGACAAGCATAAATGGATTGGAGAACTCAATAAAACAATGCAAAAAATGAAAAGAAAATCACGTCAGGACAAATTCATGTTTCAATCCGAAAAGCACTTTAAAGACAGTTGATAAACATCCCCTTCTTCACATAAGTGTCATTGTATTCAGCTCAGTACTTTGTTAGCAGAGAGATTTTCAATTTTCTTGCCAGAAAGAGTTTAGTAATCGATATATATCTTCTTAACCCAAAATAAATTTTATTGGATTTTCCAACTGAATTTACAAAAATTCATAATTGTGAGTTAATCCGCACCTGTTGTCTCCAATCTTTGATGATGTGGCATCTTTTAATTGGGAGACATTGAAGGGCACAAGAAATATGGACACCCCCCCCCCCAAAAAAAATTCCCATGACATGAACTAGCCTGTGTGGCTCAACAGTTGGCCCAAAAATGGGGCTTGGCCAGAGCCTCGAGGTGTTCCGGCTCGAACTTTTTCAGGACTATGCCAGTGGCACCGAGCGGAAGAGCCAAATTGACACCCTTATGTTCAAGGCATGCACTTATATTACGGACAAGTTGGTTGGAAAATGATGGAAATGACATGTTGTGCAAAAGTGGAAATGGGAATACAAATAATAGAAATGAAACGATAATAACATTACACTAGTCTAGTTTTCAACCTTATTTATACTTAAGCTATATTCGTCAAATAT